GTGTGTGTGTGTGTGTGTGTGTGTGTGTGTGTGTGTGTGTGTGTGTGCGCGCACGTCTTCCACAGACTCCTGCAGAGGGCGCTGCCACAGTGTTGTTCGCTGCTCTGTCACCGGCTTTGGAGGGGGAGTGTGGGGGGGGCTACTGGGCCAACGGGCGCAGAGAAATGACATCACAACCAACATTTGACCCCCAGCTGCGGCTAAGCCTATGGGAAACCACCGTCCAGTTGCTGGGCCTGCAGTAGCACGGGAGGAAGGGACGACTAACCGGAGGAAACCTTGATAAAGACCCTTACCTCGGGGCAACCAGCCACCTTCTCCTCCACCTCCCTTTCTCTCCGAATTTATTTCCGTCCATACCTCACACCGAGGTGTTCATCGAGATTTATGTTGACAATCTGACAATCCGCCGCTGGACTGTGATTGGTTATTAGGGGAGTGAAGACCTCCATTTGTTCCAGACCCGCCAAAGAACGTTTCTTTTTTCTTCTTTTTTCGCGATGAGCAAATAAACATATACAAACACACAATAGGGTTGTATCAATATATGATTTTGCTGTCAAAGATCCTGGCCAGCTGCTAAGTTATTAACAGATATCAGTTCCCTGATCATAACTAACCTGATGTCTGGCCAGAGAAATCGTTCCACGGTGTCACGTTCTAAAACCTGCAATTACACCTGCCTCACTCTGCCTTAATGTCATTAGTCCGGCTTTTCAGTGAAGACGTTCATTCAGTGAGCTAACTGCTGTTTCAGAGGCTTAGTATAAATCCCAGCAAACATTAAGATGCTTATTTGGAAAATTGCTTTTTTTTTTCTTCAATTTTGGCGCACTGACTTCAAAATCACATGGTGATCAAGCCCTAGCATACACACACACACACACATACACACACACACAAACACACGTTCATGCACCGTGATAATGTCCTGTTTTTTCAAATCTGAACCTGCCTTTTCTTGGCAGGGGAATGTGATGTCATCAGTTTGCTTTGACACATCACAATGATTTTAACGATCTTCCTGCCATCCCACTCGTTTGACTGGGAGCACTTTGTTTTTTTGGTACATTCATGTGCTTCTACTGCTTATTACTGAATCCTTGTGTTGACTGCCGGTAGGTGTATTATAAAGCAATTTTTTATGTTCTGCTGTTCTCGTGAAAATATGATCAACCCCTCTCTCTCTCTCTCTCTCTCTCTCTCTCTCTCTCTCTCTCTCGCGCCATGGCTCAGCAATCCAACAAAAGACAATTCTTGTCGGGGGATTTGGGATGACAAAAGGAAGAGATCCCATGTAAAAGTAGGCCTAATTTTGGAATAATTCCCCCTATAGACCCAAGAGGGATGATACATTCAGTTTTGTTCTGGGGAATTTCCTTACTGTTGACATATGAAGCCAGGATTTACAGACATTCCTGTTTGCTTTTGTTTGCTCAGAAACGATGGGGAACCAACCGCCACTTCTGTCCCCATTTTCCTTTGTGATCTGTGTTAATCGCTTTTACTGTGTCTGTGATACGTGTGCGTGTTTTTATGCACACAAGTTGAGAATTAACTCATGCTCTCTAGACCCAATTCATGTTGATGGATAGCCAAACAATGGCGATTCCTGGCGCAACACCGATGGGAGGAAGAGAGAGGCGAAGCACTTTTTTTTTCTCTAGAATTCAAGCTGTGATTGGTTCCTCATTGCTGCTGCTGCTGCTTCCACATTTGGCGCCGCTCCCAGTGCATTGTGGGATTGAGATTTCCCTGTGTCATGAGAATCAAACTCCATCTGCTGAGCTGACACACACACCCACACACACACACACACACACACAGAGAAACATTGGAAGCTGTACATCCAGGCGCAGGCTTATCTAAACAAGCACACAGCAAACAAATGCGTCTGTTATTCATGCAGGACAAACACTCACTCTCACACACGCATACACACACACGTACTGCGCCATAATGCCATCACTGTGATAAACCATTTTAGCTGTGAAGATGAAAAGTTTTATCTCAAATGAATAAGTTTTGGCTAAGAATCCTGCCCCACATGCCATCCCATTGCCTTGTGTGTATGTTGTTGCTCTGAATACTGCCACTGAGCATCCAAGCGTTTGTTATTACCTGCCGTATGTGAAGCAATAGTGTCACTGTTGTAGCTAATTCAGCCAGTAGCACAGAGACAGACATTGAGAATAGGAAAATAACCCAAGAGTGTGAAAGTTAAAAAATTATAAATTTACCAGCAGGAATTCAAAATGTCTCTGTCTAGACGTAGGAAACCGCTGAATGAAGACCTTGTTAATGTGCATTGTTTTAAGTATTGTTTTTCAAGCGGTTTGATGATTTATCAGGAGCTGAACGTCCTGAAGGATGCAGAGATAAAAACTAATGGTGTGTTCAGGCTCTCCTTGTCACCTCAATTATAGACTATTTTGTTTATTTTTACCATCAAACAGCCAACAAAGGTTGCAGTGTGAGTTGTGATGTATGACGTACAACTCACAATGAACACCAGGTGGACAGTGGACCGGGTTAGTGGTAAATATATCCATGTTACTTCCATTTATTTGTAATGCCCTGTGTGATTAACATGTCCATGCTGCAAATGGTGGCGCTCATGCCATGGCTTCCATTATTTATTCCCTATAGTCGGGTCGAGTCCATGTGGTATGATTACCCGTATACCTGGCAGGTCATCATGATCACGTGAGTTCACGAGTTGACAAAGATTCCCCGAACGCTCCATTGAGCAGTCGATCAGCACATAATGGGTTACGGCAGTGTTTCTTGGCCTTTTGTAGAGGATCCTTTGGAATGGGCCAGGCCTTGTCGGCTCATTGTGATGAAATAAAGCGTCTGGAGGGTCTTTAGACAAATTCTGCATTCATGTCCTATGGGATGGATGGTAGAGATGCAGGAGATTCCCACACTTACACATCGCCTGACAACTCAAGATGGTTGGTCTTCTTGTTTCAAATGACAATATTCCTCTCTATCCATTACAGTTGGGTTTAATTAACTTTGAATGATAGACTTTGGTGAATAGATGAAATGGTAGGGAGAAAATGAGTTCATAATTACTGAATGACTCTGTACAACTTGGAACAAGTTGGAACCTAATTTGGCTTTATGTCATTTGAGTGAGAGAAGCTCATTCCTGTGAGCCAATTAAACACATTCACTTCAGTTTTTAGCTTGCGATTATTTTGCAAAACATTACAATCCAGAACCGTAGTGGTGGAAATGGAAGTTCAATTCATGTTTGAAATTCTAAGTTCAAAGCAAATATCTTTTAGGTTTGATGGGGTTTTTTTTTCTGATGTAGTACTTGTGTGGAAATTGACTTAATGCCAGCAATACACCTCAGTACTTGAGTATCTTTTCTTCTACTCGGTGTTGTCAAACTGCTTGGAAACGAACCTTTTATCGCCTCAGTGCTTCCTTGTTTGACTGTGTGGTTCCCTGAGACAACTGTACGGACTCAATAACAGAATAACAAACCGCTAAACCCAGGGCCTGTTTAAACAAATGCGCTCGCCTCCCTTCACACAAATGAAAACACCAGCTTAGTCTAGCGGCTCTCATTTTAAAAAGTACAAGGCTACGGGTGTGTGCTACAACCTGTCAAAGAGCTAAAATGTTTCACAGTCCAGCTGCTACAGCAGCTGTAGTGGAACCAGAGAGAGGGAGAGAGTCACTGACTGTCTCTCCTATCTGAGCACAAGGTTTTCCAAAGACGAGGGGAGGAGTGTGGGGGTCTGCCTTGGTGTTCCTGTTGTGTTAGCGTGCAGAAGAAGGCTGCTAAATTATCAATAATTACCTTGTTATATATTTACCGTACACCTGAAGCGCTCTGCACAGACAGGACAACACAGTGAACTTTCTGATCTTGAATTACAAAATTAGAAATAGAGCAAAAAAAAAATAACAGGCTCAATTAACTGTCTGTGATATTGTCTGTATTTGAATTACTGGTATATAATCGTTTCGAAGCGTTGTCGCCGCTGGACAGTGGAGCTGTATGTAGACTGATGATGTTCTAATAGCCATTCTTCGGTCTGACCTGGGATTACATTTATATTAAATGTTTCAGTCCCAAATTCTGCAAATTATAAATGTGTATATGTCTAAGAAGAGAGATAATATAAAGATGTATACAGGGGGTAACCAGATGAACTGAGTCCTTACTCTGGGAGCAGTCCGGTTAAGAGCAAACACATGCAGGCATTTATTTGTCCTGTCACCGTTATTGCCATATACTATGCTCTACCCATTTTCTCCTTTGGTGCGAGTGCGACCTTGACTCGAGTCCCTGCGGGCTGCAAAAAGAGCATGTTCCCACTTTAAATCCCGTGTAAATATTCAGTCCATCTGGGCCCCTGAGGATTTATGAAAACGTGCAAAATGTTTTATTTTCATCATCATTTTGTCGTTGTTGAGATATGCATCTTACTGCTTTTGCCGTGCCTAAGAAGAAAAGCTCCCTCGTATATGTGTAACTGTGAATTTTTTCATGTAGAAATGAGCTCGTAGAAACTGTGATTACCGTCTTGTCCTGTGCATTGCCGTAAGTTTTTTCTCTCTGTGGAGTGACGGGAGTGGAGGTGAAGAGTGTGTGTGTGGGTGTGTGTGTATGTGTCTAGATAAGGGAGTTCATGTCCATGTTTTCTTTGTCAATGGTTGTGATATTCCAGCAGCAGCCACCACCTTTTCTATTATCCAAAGCCTCTCAATAAACATATCATTGTGCCAGTCTTGCTCTCCGTCCTTTACTCTTGTGTGTGAGTGAGAAGCTGTCAGACTGCCGACACGCAGCATGAGACAGCGAACCTCGAGCACAGTCTGAACTTTTGAGATATTCTCAGATCCACCAGTGAAACTCAGACACACACACATTTACTATCAGGTCACAATGCTGTTTGTCCTCGTATCAGACTTGGTCCAGACAGTGCCAATCAGTACCACTGATAAATTATTAAATTACTATAACAATACTTTCAGAACATGTGATAGTCCTACACAATTAATGACAGCTGCCCAAATTTATCAGCGCTTCTTTGGTTTTCTGTGTAAGATTGTTTTACCCTTAAAGCTAACAAACTCTTGATTCAACGGTCAAATTTATTTCATTAGTCAGCAGAGAATCAGCAAACATGTTAGCCAAAGGCAGCGTCAGGTTGTGCTGCTATACATACGTTTCACTTGTAAATGTGTAAACGTGTTCCTTTAGCCCTTATGAAAGACTTTCTATGGTGAGAAATAGAGCTCAGAGTAATGTTAACATAGAAAACACTTCATAAATATATAAGATGTGATATGCCTACATACTAAATACTCACAATTTATTATGATATCACATTTCTTTATTAAGTATAGGTTTTCTTGCATACGGTACTTAGAAGGGGGAGTATAACTGCAGAGACTTTAACTGAGGATTTAATTTCAGAAAGGAAAACACACAAATCTGAGAGGCAAAACAGAATCCTTCTCTTTCGCTCCCCACTAAATATATTCACAAATTGTGACCCAGACAAAGTGAATTAGACATCTCTCCACCTGCATGTGTGAGAGTAGAGTTTCTATATGAAGCAGCATTTCATGTCTTAAAGAAAAGTGCCGCTGAGACACGACTGATTAGGCAGCTGAGCCAATGTCACTGCAAAGAACCATAGCAGAAAATCACCAATGCGCATTTGAATGGCAGACGAGCAGAGGTACATCGTGTATATGCCAACTTGTTAGAATGAATATCTGACACAATGAGGAGAATGAGGCGCTGCCTCTTCAGCTCTTTGTAACATGAGGACACACACAATACAGCATGTCTGCACTTAATTGACTGTCGTCTCAGCTCACTCGGGCAGAAAACAGAGAGAGGGAAAAGAAAGAGCAACCTGAAATGACAAAATGATCACCCTCATTCACGTCTTGGTAATTGATGCTCTTATACTTGGGACAGACTGTGGTTTATGACAATGAGTATGAGCTTTATAAACACACTCAGGTCCTTATTCAACCATTAAGTGGCAGTTCTCCCTCCAGGAATTCCTCATGGGAGATTTAATGAAATCATTGCATGCACACTCATAAACTAGGAAGTGGCTAATAAGCATTCATTTATCTAATTACTGCCAAATGACTGAGAGGACATTGTTATTCATAGCAATATTCAAGGACTGGTTATACACAGTCCCTTTTTTTTTACCTGCAACATGGTCTCGTACACATCTGGATAACCCGGTTCCTTCTCAGCTCAGAAGTAATATTATTATGTTACTTACTGTTGTGCCAAAAAAGCAACACTTAAAATTAATTTTTTTTCATTCCCTATCTCTTTCCCCCCTCCTTTCCTGTCATCTCTTCGCTGTCTATTACAATAAAGGGTGAGGGAGTTCAACCACTATCCAAGAGGCGATAACAAGAGCAAATGCACTTTTTCTTTGGTTTGTAAATTTTATTTTCAGCTCTTTTAATCATTTTTAAACTTTAGAAATTGTAATTGTTATACGTTACCCACATTATTTTTTATGTTCCTTACAGCTCACTCACTCATTTCCTAATAAATTACCAAGGAATCAAACCAGTGCCCCTCTAATTACAAGCTCAAACATTTTCCCTAGTTTGGCTCATAATTTATTAACCATAGTTTAATTCATTCTTCATCATCATCTGAGGTCAATCTGCTGAACAGATGTGTCCAACAGATGTCTAATATAGATGCACTGATGAGTTTTCTCAATGACTGGAAAGAAAAACAGAATGGCCTTTTCTTTGACCTCCATATAACAGACAAAAATGCTTTGTTACATTTAGAGAGATTAGTCTTTTATCTCTTATTATGATCATCTCTTATCTTATGAATAAACAAACTAAACCTGTGTGATGGTAAAACAGTGATGCTGTACTTTGTAGAGGTAGGTGAATAAATGGCAAAACATACAACACAAAATGAGGATCTCTTTCCTGCAGAGTATGAGAGAGGTCCGTCTGTCTGCAGGTCCACCTATTAACAGTCTTTAAGTGTGAGATTAAGACGGTCATTAATCTTCCAGGCAGCGGTGGCTGATGGGAAAGGCCGGACAGCCCAGGGCTAAGTGATACATGTACCTTGTCAAGACTCCTGATGGAGGGATGGATGGGTGGACACACACACACACGCTCACACGCACGCACACCTCACCTGGCTAATAAGGAAGGAGAGGTGAAAGTCAGTGCATGTCAGCACTAAGATTACTGCTGACACAGTCAGGCTTTTGATGTTACTTCATCTCAGTCTTGTTACAACAGGGATTTATGTAAAATTAATTTTTTCTTACATCATGAGAGCCCTGAAACTGCTTATCATGCTGTTTGGTATAATATATAAAGAAATAAAGCAGCACATATTTGGAGAGAGTGAGGGTTCCTCTAATAAACTTTTCCATGCAACAACTCCAGTGGCAAACGACTTCAGTCATCTGCTGCTTGTTCACAACACAGAGGTCAAACTCAGAATTTATGTTCCACACCCTGTGCCGGTGAAAAAAACATACTCATCAGAGAGCTATCATTGCACAGTTTTGCATTCTGCGAGGTCCTCGTTTGTTCGTTATGCATCTCTGTTAATCTATTCATAATTCTAGACCACATGTGCTCTCTAATTGTGTGGCCAGATTGATTCGGTTGGGGCTCTGCGTTTATATGGAAGGCAGCAGTTGGCGTGAGTCCAGGAGATAGAGAAATACAGATGGAGATTTCTACTCTGTAGTGAGCCAGCACAACAGACTGGCCTTTCTCTCCGAAGCACAAACTGCAGTGCAACTGCTTCAACACACACACACCTCTAACCATCACGTTTTGCAGGGACTTTCAGTTGACTAACTGTAAAGTCGATAGCATTCTCTCATTCAGCATATCGCTGACGATATAATTCAGGCAGCTCTCAATACTCTTGGTAATTGCCTTTTACTAACAATAATCCCGTGTCAACATGTCTTGACAACTCATCCTTAAGCTTAAGTAAAGCTTAATTAAAGAGTCTCGACGCATAGCTATCTGCAACCAACTTGGCCTTGTGCACTGCCGAAATGATTAACTGATCAAACGATTTAATTTTTTCACACGTATTGAACAAAACATGGGAACGTTTCAATAAAAATTTGAGGCCATGGATTACGTCTCGTGAGCTCAAATTAGAAAATCCTGTCATATATATATATATATATATATAGTGTACCATGAAATTAGCAGTACTTTGAGCTGACAATCATGCAGTATTTTCGGAATGTAATTACTCATAGATGACATGACTCTTACCTGCTGGGCTCCACTCTGGAGTAGTTCATCCAGGTAATTCTGTTCTGTGTAGAAATGTGGGCAATATATGTGTAATGTTTATGAGTTTGAGTTTTCTGAAAAACCTTCATTGTTCACCATTATATCTATATCTATTAGCATGTTGACACTGTGCATTCAAAAAGATCATGTAGCATTTCGTTACGCTCAACACACCCAAACTTGTTTCAGGTGATGGTGATGCCAATCATACATCCGTGGGGTCTCAGTTGTATTTCATCAACCAGCAAAACCTGCAAAAAATGTAATAAAATATGTTTCACCTCATCGTCTTGATCCATTTTAGTGGTTGATTCGGCGCCCCGGACAGCGAGCTCCAGGCGTCTGTTTTACTGGTGATGTAAGTAAAAGTTACTTTCTGACCACAGTCATATAGAGGTGAGTTTTTATTATTTATTGTTATTATTGTTATGTCCTATTATATTCACTTATTTATTTTCTCTCAGTGACCCAATGATCAAATATTCAAGAAGGTTATTCAACAGTAAACAGACTACCTCTAATTGTGGGCTTGAAGGCTTGAACATGAACTTTAAAAACCCGGAAAAAGGACAAGAAGATTATTTTTATTTTCAGAAGGAAAAGTAATGGTATTGGCCTTCAGTAACCCACAAAGTTTATTCCAAACACAGCCGCTCAACTTGCAGAGAGAAGAAGAAAGAAAAGAACACACAACCACCTTCTGTCTCAACCACAGCAAACAAACACAATGACCTGAATAACAGCACAAATTGAGGTAGAAAAAAAAAACAACTACAAATGAGATACTGATGTTCAGTAATTATTCAGTTACTGCCTTGATTTATCCAATGATGCATTGCTTTTTTCATTCTTGCCGAACACTGTGTACGACCGATAATTCTCTAGTGGAGAATTGGTATCACTGCCTTCCCCTCCCTTGTCACCAATGCAAATGGAATTATATGATAGAAAATAGCATTCAGTGGTTTACAGTGGGCTGTTGGGGAAAGTATCGTATCCAAAGTCTGCTGAGGAATTTATGAGGCTTGAGACGGTGAGTGGTTAAGCTTTCGTGTGTGTGCATGTGTGTATCCCTTAGTATCTTTTAAACACACACACAGACTTCCATACACACACAAACACCCACAGAGATATACTGTGGGCGAGGAAGGAATTTTCTTTCTAAAAATGGCCAAAGAAGAGGAGGAGGAAGAGGAGGAGGGGAGGAGACGAAGGCGGGGTAAGTACGAAGATATGTGGAAATGCAGCGAGAGAGGGGGATATATTTCTCTCTGAGCTGACACGGAAAGGAATAAGAGGAGAAGAGGACAAGTCATGAGGGAGAGAGAAATAAGAAAGGAAAAAAGCAAGAAAAACAGGCAGAAGAATAAAAATAAACTGGGAAAAATGTCTGAACGCAAAATCAGGAATTGTAAGAAAAGCCGGAGAAACAGAAA